TATTAACGAACATAATTAAGTATGTAATTAATTAGTATTTGGGCGGAAATAATGGTGGTATATTTAATTAATGGTATACTCTTTTATAAAGATTTAAATAGTTTTCTTTTTGCATAGAAGTGGGCTAGTAATATTATCATTTTGCTAAAAACGATAATATTACTAGCCTGTACATTTTGGACCTTTGTTGCTTTAAAAACAATCTAAAATGTATCTACCCATTTCATGGGTATATTGATAAATGAGGTCTAAATTATAAGAAAATGCATTTTATACGAAAACTTGAAGAGATAGGTAAAAAGTGGCGTAATATAATTTGATAGACAATTAAATTGTACATCTGATTCTCCTAAAATATACAGGGCGTTCTATTTAAATTAAACAAGTTATTGCCGTTTAAAGCTAGAAATAATTTAAAATAAATTTTTAGACACTCTGTATGAGGTAGTAATGTTTTTATTATTGCAACCCGATAACTGATCAATAAATAGACTTCAGTAAATATATAGTATTAAAAACTTTGATACCCTTGGAGAAATGAAGCCTTAAAATTTTTACTGCAATTTCACAAAATTGAAAATATTTCAAAAACGGTAAGGTTTAAGTATGATAAATCAAATTTACCTATATTTTAATCGTAGAAACTAAAAATGTAATAATATACAGGGCATTCCATTTAAAAAATACAACTTTGATATTTTTTATTTATTTGAGACACTCTGTATCTTGTAAAAATATTTTTAAATTGTAGCTCTAATAGTCCTGCAACTAACCCAAAGCTTACAATTTATAAAAATCTAATCGTTTAGCTACAATACTCCGTGTTGTATGTGGTGAACAACCCTGTATACTACATTTTGTGTTGCAATAATAAAGACTTATTTAATTTAAATGGACTACCCTGTATATTTTACGTGAATCAGATGCATCTCCAAAGTGCATCTCTTTTGAAGCTGAGAAACAAAGGCGTATGCAGATTCTGTGGGGGAAATTGGGAAACACCACAACACCTTATGCACTGAGTGCGCCGAGACGACAACCGTTCGTGCCATAAACTTAGGTACGGATGATGAGGTACGGTTTTGGTACGGGTACTGGTTTTTATCAAAGCTTTGTGACTGTATGATGAGGTATAACCCGTTATAACTCAAAAAAGGGGAACATATATTAGATCTGTATATAAGGTCGCAGTGATTAACACCCCACCCAAAACATTCTACATTCTACCTATATCTTCAAGTTTTTGTAGAAAATGCATTTTCTTATAATTTAGACCTCATTTATCGATATAATCATGGAGTATTAATGAATTAATCTACGACAATGTCATTATGACACATTTAACATTGTCATTTGGATGTCATTATGGCTTTCATAATAGCACTAGTGCTATTATGAATTCATAATAACAGGCAAATTTTAAAATAAGAAACAAGCAAAAACGTATAATTAATTGTAATATCAGTACAATTGGTTAAATTAATTCCAGACGATGACAGGTGAGTTGAATCTTTAGAAAGTAAATTTATTGTTGAAGACCCATCATTGCCAGAAATGTTACCAAAATATTACATGACACTTTTTTCTTATTTCTTTGGAATTTTCTATATAGCTCTCTGCCACTGTGTTAGAGCGCCAGCCACCATGTCTTTTAACAGTTAATAAATCCACTCCTAAATCTGCAAGCAACGACGCAGACGATCTACGGAAACAATGTCCAGTGTATTGTTCTGGATTTGGAAGCCTTAGGAACAATGCTATTTTATACGGCATTTTTCCTAAAGTATTAATGCCAACGGGTTGCTTAATACATTTTCCATTTCTGTACCCCACAAAAAATCGAGTATGCTCTGTGTTGCTTGGCCGCATAGCTATATATATTCCAACCATTTCCACCATATTTATTCCTTCAACATTCCCTTTCGTTATAAAAAAAATCTCGTGATATCTTTGTTTTCGTAAATGGAATAATGACATGAATGCATTGTCCTTCATCTTTAACATCTTGCAGCTGCAGATTTGCAATTCGATACGCCGCCGCCGGCAGGCTCCCGCAAGTCCCACTGTCAATAAAACTTTTGTCATGAAATTAGTTTTATCATCGGTTTCCAAGAAAAAACGAGTTATGTCTTCTTTTCTTAAAATTCTCGATCTTTTTGACCGAAATCAATTATCGCAATTAAATGGACGTACTTATACTAATATCTGTATTTTTCCCCAGTGATATAACAGAACGTAGCATGGAATAATATACCCAAAGTGATGAAGCCTTCCTATGTTTTAAAAGATGTTCAAAATATGCCAGGAGAACCTTTTCGGTACTACTATTCTTGATTCCTTTCCCTGTACACCAATCTTCAAGTTTTACATAGGCTTGCTCGTACGTTTGTCTTGATTTTTCGGGAAATAGGGAATCGACAACGTTTTGCGCAATGCCTTCAATATCCCAAGGGACACTTTCAGAATCAGAATCACCCATATTAATATTATTTTTTGCTTTTTGCTAAAACTGAACGTTTAACACAAAATTGAACATCAATAATTGAGTTGTCAAAGTCAAAATGGAAACAATCAACAAGCACGGTTACCACGGCGTCGACTAATATGGGCACCTGATAATTTTGAATTTTAATTTTTATGAGGATATCTCTGATATTTTAAATTAAATCAAATCTCTTTGGATCGTCCCTCGTGTCGTGTCGTAGATTAAATTTTGAATGATACACGGTCGATACGAACTTTTTAATGAAACTTGTGTAACTAAGCCACTCGGCTAACGCCTCGTGGCTTAACGTTACACGCATTTAATTATGATGTTCGTATCGAACTTGTATCATTAATAACTATGATAATGACTGAGACTGAAATGTGTTTGAATAGACCTTAATAAAACTTCGTAAAGCCTCGTTCAGAACCTTTCCTCGTTCGGAACCTTCTTTTTCAGAAGAAGCAGAAAAACTTTTGACTTTTCCACTAATTATACTTCAGAACTTGCGAGCAATGTCATTTTGGCCTTTGATTGTCACTATGGAGGGCTTAAAAAAGGAGATTTATCGGCAATGGGCAAATTTGAAATTTCTGTCCCCACTTTTAAGCAGCTTCCTCGGTTTGACAGCAGAGGCACTGCGATCGACTGGGATACTACATTTTCATTGTTAGTATACGATTTAATTGTGTTTTTAATAAAATTTATAGTTAATTTACTGAATTTTTAGCAGTACAACAATGAGTCGTGGTAGAAATTGCTTTGTACCTGGCTGTACAAGTGGGAATCCCAATAAAAACAAGGCAAATAAAGAACGGGGTGAAAGAAACCCAAGCCTTTTCAAAGCTCCTAATGTAAGTAGTATGACTATTTATTTATAAAAATTATGGATAGATGTTAAGAAAAACATTAAAATTATATACTGTCAGTGTACAGATTAAATTATAAACCAAATTAATAGGAAATATAGCCTAAAATCAACATGTGTATAACATAACCTAGGAGGCCTTGTTATAAAATTAAAATAATTTAATACTTACTAGGTGCTAAAATTACCTGTTGACATGTACCTATATTAACCACAGTTTGAACAGTGCTATTGAAAGTGAATATTAAATATTTATACTTCAAGATCGTATTCTCAAAATAACAGCTTTAATAGTGAAAAATGTTTTTTTTTTATTTTATTTAACAATTATATATCTTTTATTAGGATCCTAGCTTGCTACAGCAGTGGCAAAAGGCGATACCCAGATCAGACAAGACACTTAGCAGCAAAGATGCTGTTTGTGAACTACATTTTCTAGATGAAGATATTTTGACTCATTATGAGATCAAATTAACTGACGGAACTATCAGTAGAATTGAGCGGGGTAGACCATTATTAAAGGAGGGTTCAATTCCAAGAATTTTTCCTAACCTGCCTTCATATTTCTCTAGTAATAAAAGAAAGAGGAAACCACCATGTGTAAGGAGTGAAGCAACTGAAAAAGTTTCTAATTCAAAAAAAGTAAAAGGTCTGCCTATTAATCATGTTGAAAATCAAACTTCAGAACCTAACTTTGAGAATGAGAATGAAATTCTTCGTGATATTACTAATGTGCCAGTTGATGTTACAGACAGTAGAGTTACTATGTTCACAAATTTGAAAAAATAGTTTGCATATGTCAGATTGTAAATTATTATAAAAATTATTTAGATTTTTGACTAGCCGTCGCAAGACGCTTTTTCATTGAGGAATAATAAGAAATAATTTGAAAATTATTGTATTGTGGTTGATACTTTTGATTGTGTATATAAACCATTTAGAATAGTTTTTATGAATATGAATAAGCTCTTTAAATTAATATGTAGGTATATTGTAGCTAGGTATTTTTTTAGAATGCATTTTTTTTAAATTGTAATTTTTTGTGTTCTTGATATAATATGATGTTCCTGTTTTATTTTTTGGCATAGTACATATAGATATTTAATATCTAAGTGCTAAATTGTATATTAAATTTATATATTGTATATTTTATTTATTAAATTTAGTGGAATTAGTTAATAGAAACAAAAGTTGTAATGTATTAATATTGCTAAATAAATATTTATATGATGAAATAAGTCAGCGTATATACATATTCACAACTCTGTATTTTTGTGCTTTTGAAATAAACTGAGTACATTATTTATTCATTAATATTTTATTTACAAACCTACCTTATATTAATAAAGTGAATATCAATAGAAAAACCTTTACAATTATTAGGTGACATTGAATATAATATATCTTGAATTTAATTGTCTACGAAACAGTGACAATTTGCAAAACTTTGCTAATGACATTAAAACTTACAATTCAACGCTAGAAAAAACGCTATTGAACACAGGAAACGTTTCAGCTCAATATACCTACTCTCTAGTTTCAGCTATAAAAAGTTATGGAATAGATAACACCGATCAAAGGGTGCAATGGTAACGTTCGTCTTCAGTTTCCATTTATGATTAAGTTATTCCTGATAAAATACTCTTAATTTTCGTTATTCAATCTGTCAATCGCCATAAAACCACTACTAGTTCGAAAGATTTTAATGTTTATTAAAATGGTATCACACTAAACTGCATGTAAACATGTCAATTTCAAATGTTTTAATGAAAAACTATGAACCTTTAAACTGCATCAACAAAACTATTAATAAAACACTAACACAATCACACCATAAACTATTTCATTCGCATTTCTCATCAAGAAACAATTACTGTTTACATCAAATCAAAGGTTGAACTGGTGATAAATTTGTTGCTGGAACTTCTATCTTTTTTGTACAACAGTTCTAGGGAAGATTTATTTTAGCAGCTTATATGTTTCTTCGGTCGTGTATGCACTAAAAAGAACCACATAATAAAACATTTTTATAATATCAACTTAGGAAAAGGATATATTAAACCGGCATCTAATATAACCTAACTAACTTTTCAAACTCAAATTTAAGGTTTTGTATTCACAATTTTAGCCACGCACATTGCTCAATTAGAAAAACCACGTTTCTAAAAGCTAACTCTGGTAAAAATATGCCCAAATATTAACTTGGCTCTATAATTTATAACAAAATAGTTATTCTTGCCATAAGAAGCTGTGTATTTCTAGTATCCCAATCATCACAAGCGCCCCTAACGGCGATTTTCGAACTTCATTTAGATCTCAAAAACTGGGCCCATAATTTTTGCGTTCGATTCGCCTCCTCCTTTTAGACTCCATAATTGTCACCCATGGTACAAAGAATACACGGTATGATATTGCGCAGGTTGGTCGCTACGTCACAGGTGATAACTGGCGCTATTGGTCAGCACTCTCCGCGCGCCAGTTCAAATCGTCAAGATATTGTTATAAACCTGTTTTTTTGTTTATATACCGTCATTGAATTATCGCTAAGCAAGTTACTGTGGAGCAGTGCGTAAGGAGTCGGGCTAGGAAGCGAGAGACCTGAGTTCGAATCTCGGCCGGGACATAACTTTTTATTTATTTTTTAAATACTGTTGTATTCTATAGTTTATTTTTGTAGTATAAAAAAAGAACTATTTATTCTGTTATTTTTTAATCTCCGGTATTAATATAAATTGATTGTTGGTACAACACCTCATTTAATATAAAATAATATTCTAATTTTTGAAATGTATCGGGCACTAATTGTACCTAAAAGTAATATATTTTTAGTGATATACCATATTGTAAACTATTTAATATTTCAGTCACTTAAAAAGTTAATTTGTATTGAATAATTGCCTACCATTAAAGGAAATTTGAGCTATATAATCCTTGATGGTCATATTCTAGGTATGCAAATACTTCCTCTAAATTTTGGGTTTCGTTGAACCGATTTATTCTCTAACCTGAAACATCTACATATAAAAAGAAGCACAGGTCACTAATTATAATAGACTTCACCCTTGGAATTACTTCTATCACAATTACAATACATTCATCTGCATTGGCATTTTCTACTTTTCGATTGTGGTTACTTTTCCATAGATATCCTCATCTCTGTCCTCATGTGAATTCAGAGGCAATGAACATGAAAATTATTTACCATAAACATCGCAAACTAAAAACCTAATAAACAATTTTATACCGAATATAGAAATAAATTTAGTATTCTTACCTATTATTATCGTCCAAATCCATGTTAATAGATAATTATTTTTAAATATATTTTTGGAACTGCTGGTTTTAGTAATTATTAAATTAAACGAACTAAAAAGTCTTAAAAATAAACAATTCTTAACCATAACCCCAAAAAATGTAGATCTCCTGTCAACTTTCTTTATTTTTTATTTATTCATTATTTTCCTAGTGACGTCACAGGTGGTATGCGCGAACTGAACGAAATTGGAGCCGCTATCGATCATACCTTGTATTCTTTGTACCATGATTATCACACATCAAAAAAAATTTTGGTTAGAAATCAAAAATGTATTGTTTTATAAGCTAAATATTATGCTTTCTCTATGGATACAACAGACTACCGCAAGCTGTTGCTAGGATATTTTATTAATTTTAATTGTGTTTTTTAGACATTGTGAATGATCGTAAACTAAAAAGTATAAAGTGTAATTGAAACCAATAATTTATTCCACTAATTGGGAGGTTCTGAATGAAGCTTTATTGTCACTAACTTTAATACAAGTGTAAAGATCGTGCCTTACGTCTCCTTTATATGTGGCTGGCTAGGTTACCAAAATATCTAGAAATTTACCTCATAATTTATGAATTATCGCTTGTCAAATTTCTTTAATTTCGACATTGACTCACTGACAGATCATCAAAATTCTAAGGTACTTCTAGATGTGACTTCAAATTTCGAATTTTAGGTAGCTTTAAGCTTATAATGGAAAGAAAAAATTGAAAATCTCTAAATATCCTTATGCATCAAAAGTTAACTGTCTAGCCGCTACCGGTAACCGACTTTGCGACGATGGTAATAGGAGGACCGGTGATAGGAGGATTGTTTTGAAAATTTGAATTTTTATATAAAGGCACCTGCTCCATCTGTCTAAAATATTATTAGCGTTACAGTGTTGCCGGATCGTTTGAAAAGTGGTAGCATCTTTGTTATTTTAAATGAAACACCCAGTATATTATTACATTTTTGGAAACTACATATCTCATAATAACTCTCATATCTCATAATTTGTTTTATTATACTAACATATACCTATCTCTTATAGTTTTCGAGATAATGTATAAAACTGACAAAACATAAAACATGATTTTGAATAAGCAATGGTAAAATCGTGAATTGAATATTGTTAAAGATGATATTTGGGTTATAACGACAGTCGGAAACACAAGTCGTTAGAAAACTAGAATTAATCCATTTGATATTATCTGACTTTATACGATAATTCAAAGTTTATGAATTATTGCTAGTCAAACTTTATTAATATTATTTTGAATGATATATTACTTAGGTTACCCGAGAAAAAATAACAGGATAACATCCAAAAAAAAATATTGATTTGATTTAATTAATTTATAATTCACCATTGTCTATCACTTTCAACCAGGGGCATTCGGTGACCGTCTGGAAGCTCGTGATAATATTCAATAATGTAACGTATGATCAAAAAAAAAGCGGCTAAGAAATGACGATAAATGACATTTCCTATATAAATTTACATATAAAAAACCACACGGATCTTCATTTCATAGCCATCGCTGACGCCGTTTTTTTCGATCATACGGTATAATCTATTGACACATAATTGTCCATTCAAGCCAGTTCGGTGCCAGATGAAATCGGATATCTCGTGAGTAAGAGTCGCTTTAGATACTCGCCAAGTTGATAGGCCATTGACAATAATATGGCCGAGGACCGGGGGTTCAGATTCCGCGTAAACCAAGTAGGTCTCGTCCAGATTAGTCTTAGCAGCAAACAAGATACTGTAGTGTAACAACCCATGTTCGTCAACAAAGTTGAAGAGGTAATATTTTGTATATACTGTATAACAAACAACTTAAATGAAAGAAAGGGAACTACGTTGTGTTAAAAATATTTTTATTGTGATTACCTCGGATGTGCCTGGTATGTTACCTCGGATGAACCTCTAATGAACGTAGCATGAAATAATATACCCAAAGTGATGAAGCCTTCCTATGTTTTAAAAGATGTTCAAAATATGCCAGGAGAACCTTTTCGGTACTACTATTCTTGATTCCTTTCCCTTTACACCAATCTTCAAGTTTTACATAGGCTTGCTCGTACGTTTGTCTTGATTTTTCGGGAAGTAGGGAATCGACAACGTTTTGCGCAATGCCTTCAATATCCGAAGGGACACTTTCAGAATCAGAATCACCCATATTAATATTATTTTTTGCTTTTTGCTAAAACTGAACGTTTAACACAAAATTGAACATCAATAATTGAGTTGTCAAAGTCAAAATGGAAACAATCAACAAGCACGATTACCACGGCGTCGACTAATATGGGCACCTGATAATTTTGAATTTTAATTTTTATGAGGATATCTCTGATATTTTAAATTAAATCAAATCTCTTTGGATCGTCCCTTGTGTCGTGTCGTAGATTAAATTTTGAATGATACACGGTCGATACGAACTTTTTAATGAAACTTGTGTAACTAAGCCAGTCGGCTAACGCCTCGTGGCTTAACGTTACACGCATTTAATTATAATGTTCGTATCGAACTTGTATCATTAATAACTATGATAATGATTGAGACTGAAATGTGTTTGAATAGACCGTAATAAAACTTCGTAAAGCCTCGTTCAGAACCTTTCCTCGTTCGGAACCTTCTTTTTCAGAAGAAGCAGAAAATGTTTGTTAACTTTTCTGAATGCTTAAGCTTCAATCAGAATCTCCAAATTAGTGGAATGAATTAGTGGTTTCAATTACACTTTATACTTTTTAGTTTACGATTATTCACAATGTTAATTAATAGAATTAAAAACACATTAAAATAATTAATAGAATATCCAAGGAACAGCTTGCGTTAGTCAGTTGTATCCATAGAGAAAGCCTAATATTTAGCTTATAAAACAATCAACTTTTGATTTCTAACCACAATTTCTCTTGTTGGAAGATAATCAATGGTCAAAATAACATTTTTCGCAAATTTTGAAGTATAATTAGTCGAAAAGTTAAAATTTTGAAAACTTTTTCTACTAATTGAAAATGTCTACCACTAATTTTGATTTTGTTCTGAATGCGTACATTAAAATTAAAAGAACAAACTTTTAGGTTAATTGAAACCACTAATTGCGAGGTTTTGAATGACGCTTAATGATTGAAAAATACTACCACTAATTTTAAAATTCTGAATGCTTATATTGAAATTAGAGAAACAAATTTCTGCGCTAATTCAAACTATATACTAATTTATTCACTAATTTCGAGGTTCTGAATGCCCCTTAAATTTTAAAAAGAACCTATTGATAATATCGCATCTCTAAAACGTAAAACTTTCAATGCCAAAGATAATAAATATCCATCAAGTATCGGTTAGCTTTATTCATTTTATTCTATTAATGTTCTATCTATTGCGAAAATTGGCAGACAAAAGAGCTCACGTTAAGTTTGCCATAGATACTTTCCGAAAGCTGTTAGATCTTTCGTTATTGTTCTTAACGGCGTTTATAATAAACTGTCCGTTATAATAATAAATGAATGGCTCTAACAGAACGTGGTGCATCCTACAAAGTTATAATTCAACTTCCGGCTAACATGGACCTCGGCGTTAAACAAAAGCACGCTAATCAATCTCTTCTATTCACCAGGGCAGAGAATTAAAATTAGCATACAGGTTGGTGGATTTTTCTATTTTTGTTAAAGCTAATCTAAACGAGTATAATAATAAAAACATGATTAACCTTGATAACACATTTAAAAGTATAAGATTTAATTTAAGAGTTCAAGATTGCTTTTTTGTATAACGATTTATGTTAATAGGTAACAACTTTTACATTCTCATTTATTATAGAATTGTTTTAACGCAGATGTTATGTTTTTATGTTTTTTTCATAATATTTTTACGATGTTTCGTACACTATGAAACCCCATTATCATTGGCGACAAAATCATCCGATTTAAATGATATTTGGTATGTCCATAAAATAGACCAAGACCAACTTGACCGTCTACGATACGTGTCGCTGTGACAGTTTTGCCGTAAGAACGCCAGACGTGGCGTACTCAGATAAGCTCATCAATATATGCTCAGAGACTCAGGCAGCACTTGG